GATTTTGAGAAGATCAAAATCATCGCCCACCGGAGAGTCGATGCACCTTGGATCATCTCAGTACTGCATATACGTCTCCCTCTTTCCCCTTCTTCAATGAGATGCAAAAGGTGAAGCGAAAGGAACGAACCACGTATACTTAGGTCTTCGATTGTGTGTTCTATTTAGTCTCTTAAATTTGGACTCAAATCTACACTGAATGGTGCGGCTAAAACGCAATGATTATAGACACTTAATTTAGAACAAGTAATCTACAACGATGTTGCCCCAGACAACCATCACTTAAGAGGACGAAATTAATGGCACAAGTGCATCTTCAGGGCTACCCTCAAATAACTGTTGACTATTTTCGAGTCTTAGGAAACTCCCGCACATGATTGCCATGCATAGCTAACTGCGGGAAAAATGAAGCAGCAACCTTTGGAGTCAACCATACAATAAAGCCATCGGAGGTGAAAATAACTTCAAATTGGAATATCGCTGAACAACGCTCTCAGCGCCCACCCCGTGTTTTGTGTCTTCACTATCAACGGACGTCTAGAGCACACTTTTGACCCGTGTGACACATTCGCATCCATGATAACAAAGGCAACAACTGCAATGTGGACACGATATCGAGGAACATTGTCCACGACAATGCACCGACAGAAATTATGTGAACTTAGCACACAGAACTCAGTTTACCGCCTAAGGGACCGAACTGACTGCCCTACTTCTGTGGTGTTTGGAACTCCGGAGCGGGACACAAATGAAGGAAGGTTCGATGTAACATCAATGAAACATGATATAAGCACGGTTTTTCTTATCCGTCACTTACTGTCTCTCTGTCTACCGCAGTCTCACGCATAGACCTGTCTAATAACTTGCAACCAATTAGCTTCTTTTATCTATCCATAGTTATTACCATCTAAACGACAGTAACATCATAAATAATCAAATCGTCGGACACTCACGCTTTTACCACCAAATCCCACGACAAAAACTAGAAAGAAAACCTTGTGACGGTTATCGTCGATGACGAAGGTTAAACATAAACCATTTGCGCTAGCATTCTCTCGGGATAACTGTCAGACCTCTCTTAAAATAACAAATGCAACACATGTGTAAGGCAATCGAGTGAAAGTTGGTCGAGTGTTCTTACCTTTATGATCCAGTCGATCCACGATGTCTGTAGTAGGTTTAATATTACGCGTTCAACAGAACTAAGGATACGATTAGATTCTAGCCTCCCCTTCGGCTGTTGCCTTTGAGTGCGTCCAGTGAGACAGGTCAACATCTTCCTGAATGGCACAGCCTATCATGCCAGTGACCATACTTCACCTTTAGCATTTTTGAATTTTGTTTATGTACGTCAGATAACTTTATTATGTTACATTCATCTGATTGCCAATTCTGTTTTGTTGGCGCGATTCAATAACTACAGTCGCGCTTTTACGCGCGAACTCATCCTCATCGCAGAATGCAAACAAACAAGCTATAAAAATAGGGAGGTTCGAGGTCTGATTCTGTAATCGATATCTGTAGAAGGCCAACAAGATAGTTGCCTTCTTGGGAGGGGTTAGTCCGTCAATTTTAAATACTATGTTTCGTGTACTATACTGCTATCTGCAGACGGGCAATAATAAACAGTGAGGAACGAAGAATATTAAAGCGCGTGAGGTGCAAAAGCGTGGCGTCTCTTTTTGCTTTGAAAGTACTGCTAGTGTGAAGTGCATTTAGGAAATGTTTAACGGGAACGAAGGCTAATCAAACTGCATCTCTTGATTGTCGATTCAGTTAACGTTTTCTATTTTTAAACGATTCAGATGTTGAAGTTAAACACCATCATTCGAGGTGACGCTCCGACAAGCTGCATTACGACAGGCATCTCAAAGCATATCGTACGTAGTTATTTTGTTGTCGTTTAGGTACTTCTGCCTTGATGCTGTCTTGATCTTGCCCAATAGACAAATACCATTTTACGAATGACTTCATCTCACAGTCTTATCGTATTTCTTTTTAATTTCGTTTAATGTTGCGGAAAGACGGTTTTCCCAAGTGAACATAAAATCTTAAGTAGGCTTCCGTGGAGATGACTTATTCAACATTCCTATACTAAACACATAAGTAACAAATCGAATTAAAAATAGTTTCTCACTTCAGCAATTACTACTTTCTTAACGATGACGCATGCTTTGTGATCACGTTGGCATCCTGACTTCTCTTAATCCTTAATCAGGAATTTCACGTTTATTCATATAGTTACTGAGTCCAAACCGTGACTGACCAGCTTGTTTGTCACCATTCGTTCGGGGCGTTAGACAAAAAATGCATACACTAGTCCCTTCTGTCAGATCGTCAACTATTCGCACTGTCCAAATGCTATTTCAGCAACCCCTGAGTGCAAGAGTGCTTGTGACCCGAACCCATCCTCTCAGGATGGTTACCCTAGCGTCTGCGCTACGAGATTCGTACACGAATTTAGCCGAGGATGGTAACACGCGGCCTCGGAAGTCACCTGCCGATTTCAACTCCCAAAAGCCTTTCATTTGTTGGCAGATAATATTACTCTTTCAAACTTCTTTGCCTCTTTGATGGCCACTACCGAGACCTCTTGGATCTGTCACGGCAGCTTAAGTCATAGGCGGACCTTAGCTACGAAGACCTTCAGAGTCAGCTCCCAGAAGAAGGATTAGACTTGGGACGCCAGAAAGAAGAAAAAGAAGAAGAAGGAGGAGGAGGAGAAGAAGAAGAAGAAGAAGAAGAAGAAGAAGAAGAGGAAGAAGGAGGAGGAGGAAGAAGAAGAAGAAGAAGCATTGGATTTTTTACAGAAAGAATGGCGAATGGTTTGAAGAAAGTGGACAACCGGACCGGGGCACACGTCCAGAGCGGCCAGATTAGGCGTCCAAATACCACTGGGACGGACGTATCAGAGGGAATATCTAAGTCAGACTTGAAGTTCATTAGCCGTCTTGGATATCTATAATTCACTGAAAACCAGACTGACATTGATACACGCGAGAGGCACAGCATTACAACAGGAGCCGGGAAGAGGGTCACTACAGACCTCCCATTCCCAGACGTGACTTCAAGTGGAAAATCCAAACGGAGGACGCATTGTTAAACTGAACGAACGAGAAACGTGCCACCGGTGGTGTTATCGACAGCGTGGGTGACTGCAGCTGGGTGAAAGGAGCCAAGATAATTGGGGGACCGAAGAAAGGTAGTGGTTGATTTTTTGAGTTAGACGACGACGGCGAATTCGTATGCTATGTCGGTATTTGTTGGTTTAAGTTAGAGGAGACAAAATATTGGGTATTGGGAAGGGCATGCGGGTGCTGGTGCTGATGGAATGGCTGCTCCGCTGAATTAGATCGGAATCATATGGTGGACATCCTGGACTGAGATTGCTTGTTGTCATGCATGTCTGAGAGACGGCCTCGAAGTTGATTGGCCGGTTTGGATAGCTGTGCTTTGAGCAGAACAAGATTGCCACTGGCGTGCATGTGCAAGTGAGGGCGAGAGGCAAAGTGTTACAACAGGCACCGCGGAGGGACCACTACATATCCAACCCCAGTCTCAAGGCGCCCTCTAACTACCTGTTACCGGCCCATCTATTCGCTGCAAGCTGTCCTCATGTGTACCGTGACTCGCGATCCAAGGTAAAACCCCTGTCCATGCAGAAGAACCTAGACATATTTTTTCACACTTGCGTTTTCCTTGTTATGCCTGCACCACTTTCAACATCTTGTTTCCCTTTTACGTTAGCCCTGGCAGCCTCATCGTCTCCACATGAAGTTGCATGGAGAAATTACTTGCGGTGATGCCTGGGGTAAGTTAAGTTATTTGCTTCATTAAGTGTCACTTTAGGGAAGGTCATGGTGGTGGGTTCGGACTTTGGCGCATACGCCCTCGAAGGTTAGACATAGTCTTTGAAATATCTCTTTTG